TTTGTTATGTTTCTGCTTTCATCCTTTCTCTGGTCCTCCTTTATAACTTGGAAATGTTTGATATTCACGTTTGTGTAGATATTATGAAATTCCTGAAATCTGCCCTCTGTGCTAGTATTTGGAGAAACAGCCATCCTAGATATTGGTCAATCAAGAGTGTCCCTTATCATCCAAATCATCACTAGTGCTTTGGTATGTTTTGCATGACAGCTTCATGGATTTTATTTCTTGCTTTTTGAAAAAATAGATGTATTAGGCCAGTTGCTATAGTAAGTGCATAATAGTACTTACATGTTATGCAGATAAATAGAATTTCCTAATGACATTTACATATATGTCCCGTTCATGTAAAATGTAGGGTGCTTGAAGGAACCTTGAAGATTCCGTGATCCACAATAGTGCAGTCAAGTTTAACTGGGAGCTCTTATGTCTCCCCTGATTTTCAAATCTCTATGCAAATCTGCCCTTTGGTCATTGGCTAAACTAGAGGACCCCATAATGCTTTGGGGGAATGAACTATTCTACTGGAACCAATGAGGGCAGATCTCATTTGCATGAAAAGAGAAAGCTGGGGCATTTAAGGACAGGAAAGGAGAAGCTCTGAAGAAGGATATAATTTCCTTTCCTAGAAGGACATTCCTTGCCAAAATTGACCATGGGTTGGGCTGTGATTTTCTTAGCACTCCTCACTTACTGCACAGGTAAAGTTTTTCTGGGCCAAAGGAGAATTGGTGGTGATTGTCAAAAGAATTTGGACCCTTCTAAATGGCTCAGAGTGAAGGAAGATGCATCAGTTTAACGGTATTCCTTCCTTCTTCTCCCCTCACTCTTTTTCTCTCTTTCTCTCTCTCCCTCTCCCCCTTTAAAGGCATTGATGGTCAATTAAGTTGGACTCAACCTCCGACAAGTTCTGTATCCCCGGGTGGAACGATTACGCTCTCCTGCACAACTACTCAGACTTCTTATTGTATTGGCTGGTATCAACAGAAACCAGGAGAAGCACCTCGCTATGTTCAATGTAGCGGATACAGCAGGGGAGAAGGGATCCCCGATCGATTCAGTGCCACCAAATCTGGGACTACAGGATCTCTGGCCATCACCAATGCACAGGCTGAAGACGAAGCAGTTTATTTCTGTGGTAGCCTGAACAGTGCAGGCAACGCGTTCCACAGTGATTAATTCTTATGGGGAAGTGTGACAAAAACCTCCTCTCTGCCTCTCCAGCCTGAAACAAAAAGCAACATACCTTGACTTGTGACTGTGGAAACTAGAGCCAAAAAGACAGGAGAGAAACTTCTGCAGGTTCATTTCCCTCTGCAAATAAGTCGTTCTGTCCCTATGAAGAGGGGTGAGGAATGCAGGAACAGGAAAGAGAAAGGCGAAGGGAAAGCCCACAGACCCACGGTCTCAGTCCCTCATGGTTTGAGTAAAAACTATCAAAGGATAAAATGTAAAATCGAAGAGAAGCTACAGATGATTTGCAGGTGCTTCAACACCAGACTGGAGATGGGATAAAAGGGACTTGATGAAGACACAGGCTGAAAAGTGGCCACTGGGACAAGTTTGGGTCAAGGCTAGAGGTTGTAAGGATGAACACTTCATATCCATTGGAAGCCTCACTTGTGGTTCTCCTAGATTAGATGTTGAGCTTTCCAGATGATGTGCTTCAATGTTCCTACTGGGAGAAATGAATGAGCCACTGAAAACATGGAACTCTTCTGATGAACAGGTCCCTCCTTTACCTCAACCTCAGGCACACCAGGAAAGCCAAGAAGGAAAAGCAGAAACAAGCATGATGCTCCAGACATACATATGATCTCTCCTTAAATCAAAGCGTTAAAAAAAGTAAGGAAGACTTTGGAACATCTTCTGAAATAGAATGAATAAAGATGACACATTTTGTCCCATTCTTGTTTTCTTCTTTATTTCATCCTTTATTTATTTATTTATTTTTTGTCTTTTCCTTCCTCTAATGTTTAAGGAGAAGGACGATGAGGGTCTCCAAAGGATGAGAGATGCTGCCTTTCTTCTGCCCAGGTGGGGAGAATGCAGATGTTGCATTCTCCTCATTTAGAGCTTACAGGTGTTTGCTGGGCCTAATGTGACTCTGGGAGTCAGGAAAACTCCTGGCATTTGAAGGGTGTTGCTATTGCATTTAGAAAAAATGGCATTATGGCTCAAAGCCATTGTTGACTTTTGTCTTTCTACAGTGTGGCTTATCTTCCAATCCTGCATGAACAGGGGGTTGGACTAGATGACCTCCAAGGTCCCTTCCAACTTACTGTTACTGGATGGCAAATGCTGCATTTCTTCAGCCCAGGTGGGGATAACACAGGTGCTGCGATATCTGTGCCCAACAGGGGTTGCTGCCATTGTTTCATGCTTCTCCCGAAAACGACTTAAGCCAAAGGACAGTCAGATGTGGCTCCTGCAACGCCTAGTCTACTCCTCTACTCTAAGGGAGAGAGGAGGGCCCTGATCCTTCACATAAGAGGTCTGTGGGCTTTCTCTTTCCTATTCTTGTATTCCTCACCCCTCTTCATAGGGACCGAGAGACTTCTTTGCAGATAGAAATGAACCTGCAGAAGTTTCTCTCCTCTTCTCAGCTCTAGTTTCCTCGGTCACGAGTCAAGGAACGTTGCTTCTTGTCTCAGGCTGAAGAGGCAGAGAGGAGGTTTTTGTCACAGTGCCCCATAAGAATTAATCAAAAATTAAAAAAAATAAAATATGAGGATTTCTTAACACCTGGTTAGCCCATGTATGGAAATGGACTATGTGGTCCTCCTCCTCTTCCCTAGATTTGTGCTTTTCCATGCTATTGAGGTTGAGTTACATAATCACATGTATCATGTCCATGTCAGATTCATGTATAATTAAATGGTGTGTCTGAAGAAACATATCCCTGTTCCTCAAGCAGCAGGGTTTAATTTTTAATGGAGACCTATTAATTCCTCCTGTTTTCCAAATCTCTAATATGCAAATGTTTCCTCCGGTCATTGGTTAAACCAGAAGACCTCAAAATGGTTTTGGGAAAGAAAGTTTTCTAGGAGAACCAATGAGGGCAGATCTCATTTGCATGAAAGGAGAAAGCAGGGGCATTTAAGGGAAGGAAGGGAGAAGATCTGAAGAAGGTTATAATTTTCCTCCTTAGAAGGATACTCCTTGCCAAGGTTGACAATGGGTTGGGCTGTGATTTTATTAGCACTCTTCATTTACTGCACAGGTAAAGTTTTCCTGGTCCAAGAGAGGCTTGGCTTTTGAGTTTAATAAAAACACGGTTCCCTGAAATATTTAAGAAGAATAAAGTGGATCACAGATAGGGTATTTTTTTCCTTTACTTCACTGCTCTCTTTCTCCCTTTTGAAGGTATTGACTGTCAAGAAAGTTGGATCCAGCCTCCCTCCAGCTCCGTGTCCCCAGGTGGAACCATTGCGATCTCCTGCATAACCCAGGTTTCTAGTACCATTTACTGGTATCAACAGAAACCAGGAAAATCCCCTCATTTTGTCCACTGTGATGGCTGCAGCAGCAGGGGAGAAGGGATCCCAAATCGGTTCACTGCCACCAGATCTGGAACTACAGGATCTTTAAGCATCACCAATGCACAGGCTGAAGACGAGGCAGATTATTATTGTGGTAGATGGAACAGTGCAGGCAACGTGTTCCACAATGATTAATTCTTATGGGGAAGTGTGACAAAAACCTCCTCTCTGCCCCTTCAACCTGAAACAAGAAACAACATACTTTGACCGGGGATTGGATGTACTTGAACTGAAAAGACAGGAGAGAAACTTCTGCGGGCTCATTTCCATCCGCAAGGAAACCTCTCTGTACCCATCAAGGAGGATGATGGATACTGGAGCATGGATGAGGGGAGGCCCAGGGCATCATTAGCCCCCTTCTGGTTTGAGCATAAACTACCAAGGGAGAAGATGCAAAATTGGAGGGGCTACAGATGATTGGCAGGTGCTTCAACACTGGACTGGATGTGGGAGAAAAGGGATTGTAACTGGCTAAAAGGCGGTCACAGGTGCAAGCTTAGGTTAAGGCTAGAGGATGTCAGAATGAACCCTTTGCAAAGAGTTCTACACTCCTGTGTGCTTCTCCTACATTAGATGCTGAACTTTACAGACCACCAAGTGCTAAGTGTTTTCTTACCAGAAGAAACGGATCGTCCTCATAAAACTCTCCTGATGAACAGATACCTCCTTGACCTCAACCTCAAACACGCCACTAAAATGAAGAAGGAGAATCCCAGAGTAGCACAATGCCACAGATATACATTAAAAAGAAGGGGAACTTTGTGAAATCTTCTGTAAGAGAATTAAGATAGAAGGCACATCCTCCTTCTCCTTCTCCTTGTTTTTTTCTTCTTCTTTTTCTGATATTTAAACAGAAGGAAGAGGATGGTTCTCAATGGACAGAAAATGCTACATTTCTTCAGCCCAGATGGGGATAAGACAGATGTTGCAATATCAGTGGCCAGTAGGGGCTGCTGATGCCCTTTCAAAGGTCTCCAAAAAATGACTTCAGCAAAACCATGGTCAGATGTGGCTCCTGAAATGTCTCCTCTCTTCCTCTCCAGTAAATGAAGGAGGAAGGAGCTGATCCCGCACAGAACACATGAAATATGTAGGATAAGAGGAAATGATTGGGACCACCAACTCTGCTTCTGGTGGCTTCCTCCAAATATATTTTTTTAAAAAAAGAATATGAGGATTTCTTATGATCTGCCTTAGCTCATATGTCCAAATGGACTATGGTCGTCCTCATTTCCCTAGGCTGGTGGTTTTACACACTATGGAGAGGCAGTGGAGTTGCCCAATTTCATGTATAATTTCCATGTCAATTTCACATATAAAGAAGTGTGTTTGAAGAAATTCACAAGTTTTCCAGTTCTACAAGCAGCACGGTTTGATTTTTAATTGACCTTATAATTCGTCATGGTTTCCAAATCTCCTCTATGCAAATGTCTCCTCTGGTCATTGGCTAAACCAGAAGACCTCAAATGGTTTTGGGGAAGAAGTTTTCTAGTAGAACCAATGAGGGCAGATCTCATTTGCATGAAAGGAGAAATCAAGAGGCATTTAAGGGAAGGAAGGGAGAAGATCTGAAGAAGGTTATAATTTCTTTCCCTAAAAGAATATTCCTTGCCAAAGTTGACCATGAGTTGGGCTGTGATTTTCTTAGCACTCCTCACTTACTGCACAGGTAAAGCTTTCCTGGAACAAGAGAGGATTTGGCTGTGATTCTCATAAGAAAAGCTTTCCTTGGAAATGATCAAAGCAAAGGAAGATGCATCAGTTTAACTATATTTCTTTCTTTTTCTTCCTCCCTCTTTCCTTTCCTATCTCCCATCATTATTTAAAGGCATCGATGGTCAGTCCACTTGGACTCAGCCTCCCTCCAGCTCCGTGTCCCTGGGTGAAACCATCACACTCTCCTGTTTAACAACTCAGAGTTCCTACAGCATTGGCTGGTATCAACAGGAACCAGGAAAAGGCCCTCGTTTTGTCCACTGTGATGGCTGCAACAGGGGAGAAGGGATCCCAAATCGGTTCACTGCCACCAGATCTGGGAGTACAGGATCTCTGGCCATCACCAATGTGGAGGCTGAAGACGAAGGAATTTATTATTGTGGTAGCCGGAACAGTGCAGGCAACGCGTTCCACAGTGATTAATTCTTATGGGGAAGTGTGACAAAAACCTCCTCTCTGCCTCTTCAGCCTGAGACAAGAAGCAACATACCTTGACTTGTGATCGAGGAAACTAGAGGTGAGAAGACAGGAGAGAAACTTCTGCAAGTTCATTTCTATCTGCAAAGAAGTCTCTCGGTCCCTTTGAAGAGGGGTGAGGAATACAAGAATAGGAAAGAGAAGGCCACAGACCAGTGGTGAAATCCAATATTTTTTACTACCGGTTCTGTGGGCGTGGTTTGGTGGGCATGGTGTGGTTGGGTAGACTTATCTTGGTGGGCATTGCAGTGGAAGGATATTGCAAAATCTCCATTGCCACTACTGGTTCTCCAGAAACTGTCAGTACCTGCTGGATTTTACCCCTGCCACAGTCCCACAGTCTGAATCTCCCTTGATTTGAGTAAAAACTATCAAAGGATAAGATGTAAAATTGGAGAGGAGCTACAGGTGATTTGCAGGTGCTTCAACACCAGACTGGAGATGGGATAAAAGGGACTTGATGAAGACACAGGCTAAAAAGTGGCCACTGGGACAAGTTTGGGTCAAGGCTAGAGGTTGTAAGGATGAACACTTCGTATCCATTTGAAGCCTCACTTGTGGTTCTCCTAGATTAGATGTTGAGTTTTACAGATGATGTGCTAAATATTCTTACGGGGAGAAATGAATGAGCCACTGAAAACATGGAACTCTTCTGATGAACAGGTCCCTCCTTTACCTCAACCTCAAGCACACCAGGAAATCCAAGAAGGAAAAGCAGAAACAAGCATGATGCTCCAGACATACATATGATCTCTCCTTAAATCAAAGCGTTAAAAAAATTAAGGAAGACTTTGCAACATCTTCTGAAATAGAATGAATAAAGATGACACATTTTGTCCCATTCTTGTTTTCTTCTTTATTTCATCCTTTATTTTATTTTTTTGGTCTTTTCCTTCCTCTAATGTTTAAGGAGAAGGACGATGACGGGCTTCAAAGGATGAGAGATGCTGCCTTTCTTCTGCCCAGGTGGGGAGAATGCAGATGTTGCATTTCTGGTCATTTAGAGCTTACAGGTGTTTGCTGGGCCTAATGTGACTCTGGGAGTCAGGAAAACTCCTGGCATTTGAAGGGTGTTGCTATTGCATTTAGAAAAAATGGCATTATGGCTCAAAGCCATTGTTGACTTTTGTCTTTCTACAGTGTGGCTTATCTTCCAATCCTGCATGAACAGGGGGTTGGACTAGATGACCTCCAAGGTCCCTTCCAACTTACTGTTACTGGATGGCAAATGCTGCATTTCTTCAGCCCAGGTGGGGATAACACAGGTGCTGCAATATCTGTGCCCAACAGGGGTTGCTGCCATTGTTTCATGCTTCTCCCAAAAACGACTTAAACCAAAGGACCGTCAGATGTGGCTCCTGCAACGCCTAGTCTACTCCTCTACTATCAGGGAGAGAGGAGGGCCCTGATCCTTCACATAAGAGGTGAAATAGGAGAAGAGAAAAGGAAATAGTTCGGTCCAACAACTATGCTTCAGGTGACCTGTTCCCAAAATTAAAAAAAAATAAAATATGAGGATTTCTTAAGACCTGGTTAGCCCATGTATCCAAAAGGACTATGGTCCTCCTCCTTTTCCCTAGACTTGTGCTTTTACATGCTATTGAGGTTGAGTTACATAATCACATGTATCATGTCCATGTCAAATTCATGTATAATTAAATGGTGGGTCTGAAGAAACATATCCCTGTTCCTCAAGCAGCAGGGTCTGATTTTTGATTGAGACCTATTAATTCCTCCTGTTTTCCAAATCTCTAATATGCAAATGTTTCCTCCGGTCATTGGTTAAACCAGAAGACCTCAAAATGGTTTTGGGGAAGAAAGTTTTCTAGGAGAACCAATGAGGGCAGATCTGATTTGCATGAAAGGAGAAAGCAGGGGCATTTAAGGAAAGGAAGGGAGAAGATCTGAAGAAGGTGGTAATTTTCCTCCTTAGAAGGATACTCCTTGCCAAGGTTGACCATGGGTTGGGCTGTGATTTTCTTAGCACTCTTCATTTACTGCACAGGTAAAGTTTTCATGGCCCAGGAGAGGCTTGGCTTTTGTGTTTAATAAAAACACGGTTCCCTGAAATATTTAAGAATAATAAAGTGGATCACAGATACGGTATTTTTTCCTTTACTTCACCGCTCTCTCTCTCCCTTTTGAAGGTATTGACTGTCAAGAAAGTTGGATCCAGCCTCCCTCCAGCTCCGTGTCCCCAGGTGGAACCATTGCGATCTCCTGCATAACCCAGGTTTCTAATACCATTTACTGGTATCAACAGAAACCAGGGAAATCGCCTCGTTTTGTCCACGGTGATGGCTGCAACAGGGGAGAAGGGATCCCAAATCGGTTCACTGCCACCAGATCTGGGACTACAGGATCTTTGACTATCACCAATGCAGAGGCTGGAGATGAAGGAATTTATTTCTGTGTTAGCTGGAACAATGCAGGCAACGCGTTCCACAGTGATTAATTCTTATGGGGAACTGTGACAAAAACCTCCTCTCTGCCTCTTCAGCCTGAAACAAGAAGCAACGTTCCTTGACTTGTGACCGAGGAAACTAGAGCTGAGAAGAGGAGAGAAACTTCTGCAGGTTCATTTCTATCTGCAAAGAAGTCTCTCGGTCCCTATGAAGAGGGGTGAGGAATACAAGAATAGGAAAGAGAAAGCCCACAGACCAGTGGTGAAATCCAATATATTTTACTACCGGTTCTGTGGGCGTGGTTTGGTGGGCATGGTGTGGTTGGGTAAGCTTATCTTGGTGGGCATTGCAGTGGAAGGATATTGCAAAATCTCCATTGCCACTACTGGTTCTCCAGAAACTGTCAGAACCTGCTGGATTTCACCCCTGCCACAGACCCACCGTCTGATTCTCCCATGATTTGAGTAAAAACTATCAAAGGATAAAATGTAAAATCAGAGAGGAGCTACAGCGGATTTGTAGGTGCTTCAACACCAGACTGGAGATGGGATAAAAGGGACTTGATGAAGACACAGGCTAAAAAGTGGCCACTGGGGCAAGTTTGGGTCAAGGCTAGAGCTTGTAAGGATGAACACTTCATATCCATTGGAAGCCTCACTTGTGGTTCTCTTAGATTAGATGTTGAGCTTTACAGATGATGTGCTTCAATGTTCCTACTGGGAGAAATGAATGAGCCACTGAAAACATGGAACTCTTCTGATGAACAGGTCCCTCCTTTATCTCAAAATCAAGCACACCAGGAAATCCAAGAAGGAAAAGCAGAAACAAGCATGATGCTCCAGACATACATGTGATCTCTCATTAAATCAAAGCGTTAAAAATATTAAGGAAGACTTTGGAACATCTTCTGAAATAGAATGAATAAAGATGACACATTTTGTCCCAATCTAGTTTTCTTCTTTATTTCATCCTTTATTTTTTTTTTGGTCTTTTCCTTCCTCTAATGTTTAAGGAGAAGGACGATGACGGTCTTCAAAGGATGAGAGATGCTGCCTTTCTTCTGCCCAGGTGGGGAGAATGCAGATGTTGCATTCTCGTCATTTAGAGCTTACAGGTGTTTGCTGGGCCTAATGTGACTCTGGGAGTCAGGAAAACTCCTGTCATTTGAAGGGTGTTCCTATTGCATTTAGAGAAATGGCATTATGGCTCAAAGCCATTGTTGATTTTTGTCTTTCTACAGTGTGGCTTATCTTCCAATCCTGCATGAACAGGGGGTTGGACTAGATGACCTCCAAGGTCCCTTCCAACTTACTGTTACTGGATGGCAAATGCTGCATTTCTTCAGCCCAGGTGGGGATAACACAGGTGCTGCAATATCTGTGCCCAACAGGGGTTGCTGCCATTGTTTCATGCTTCTCCCAAAAACGACTTAAACCAAAGGACCGTCAGATGTGGCTCCTGCAACGCCTAGTCTACTCCTCTACTATCAGGGAGAGAGGAGGGCCCTGATCCTTCACATAAGAGGTGAAATAGGAGAAGAGAAAAGGAAATAGTTCGGTCCAACAACTATGCTTCAGGTGACCTGTTCCCAAAATTAAAAATAAAATAAAATATGAGGATTTCTTAAGACCTGGTTAGCCCATGTATGCAAATGGACTATGTGGTCCTCCTCCTCTTCCCTAGACTTGTGCTTTTACATGCTATTGAGGTTGAGTTACATAATCACATGTATCATGTCCATGTCAAATTCATGTATAATTAAATGGTGGGTCTGAAGAAACATATCCCTGTTCCTCAAGCAGCAGGGTCTGATTTTTGATTGAGACCTATTAATTCCTCCTGTTTTCCAAATCTCTAATATGCAAATGTTTCCTCCGGTCATTGGTTAAACCAGAAGACCTCAAAATGGTTTTGGGGAAGAAAGTTTTCTAGGAGAACCAATGAGGGCAGATCTGATTTGCATGAAAGGAGAAAGCAGGGGCATTTAAGGAAAGGAAGGGAGAAGATCTGAAGAAGGTGGTAATTTTCCTCCTTAGAAGGATACTCCTTGCCAAGGTTGACCATGGGTTGGGCTGTGATTTTCTTAGCACTCTTCATTTACTGCACAGGTAAAGTTTTCATGGCCCAGGAGAGGCTTGGCTTTTGTGTTTAATAAAAACACGGTTCCCTGAAATATTTAAGAATAATAAAGTGGATCACAGATACGGTATTTTTTCCTTTACTTCACCGCTCTCTCTCTCCCTTTTGAAGGTATTGACTGTCAAGAAAGTTGGATCCAGCCTCCCTCCAGCTCCGTGTCCCCAGGTGGAACCATTGCGATCTCCTGCATAACCCAGGTTTCTAATACCATTTACTGGTATCAACAGAAACCAGGGAAATCGCCTCGTTTTGTCCACGGTGATGGCTGCAACAGGGGAGAAGGGATCCCAAATCGGTTCACTGCCACCAGATCTGGGACTACAGGATCTTTGACTATCACCAATGCAGAGGCTGGAGATGAAGGAATTTATTTCTGTGTTAGCTGGAACAATGCAGGCAACGCGTTCCACAGTGATTAATTCTTATGGGGAACTGTGACAAAAACCTCCTCTCTGCCTCTTCAGCCTGAAACAAGAAGCAACGTTCCTTGACTTGTGACCGAGGAAACTAGAGCTGAGAAGAGGAGAGAAACTTCTGCAGGTTCATTTCTATCTGCAAAGAAGTCTCTCGGTCCCTATGAAGAGGGGTGAGGAATACAAGAATAGGAAAGAGAAAGCCCACAGACCAGTGGTGAAATCCAATATATTTTACTACCGGTTCTGTGGGCGTGGTTTGGTGGGCATGGTGTGGTTGGGTAAGCTTATCTTGGTGGGCATTGCAGTGGAAGGATATTGCAAAATCTCCATTGCCACTACTGGTTCTCCAGAAACTGTCAGAACCTGCTGGATTTCACCCCTGCCACAGACCCACCGTCTGATTCTCCCATGATTTGAGTAAAAACTATCAAAGGATAAAATGTAAAATCAGAGAGGAGCTACAGCGGATTTGTAGGTGCTTCAACACCAGACTGGAGATGGGATAAAAGGGACTTGATGAAGACACAGGCTAAAAAGTGGCCACTGGGGCAAGTTTGGGTCAAGGCTAGAGCTTGTAAGGATGAACACTTCATATCCATTGGAAGCCTCACTTGTGGTTCTCTTAGATTAGATGTTGAGCTTTACAGATGATGTGCTTCAATGTTCCTACTGGGAGAAATGAATGAGCCACTGAAAACATGGAACTCTTCTGATGAACAGGTCCCTCCTTTATCTCAAAATCAAGCACACCAGGAAATCCAAGAAGGAAAAGCAGAAACAAGCATGATGCTCCAGACATACATGTGATCTCTCATTAAATCAAAGCGTTAAAAATATTAAGGAAGACTTTGGAACATCTTCTGAAATAGAATGAATAAAGATGACACATTTTGTCCCAATCTAGTTTTCTTCTTTATTTCATCCTTTATTTTTTTTTTGGTCTTTTCCTTCCTCTAATGTTTAAGGAGAAGGACGATGACGGTCTTCAAAGGATGAGAGATGCTGCCTTTCTTCTGCCCAGGTGGGGAGAATGCAGATGTTGCATTCTCGTCATTTAGAGCTTACAGGTGTTTGCTGGGCCTAATGTGACTCTGGGAGTCAGGAAAACTCCTGTCATTTGAAGGGTGTTCCTATTGCATTTAGAGAAATGGCATTATGGCTCAAAGCCATTGTTGATTTTTGTCTTTCTACAGTGTGGCTTATCTTCCAATCCTGCATGAACAGGGGGTTGGACTAGATGACCTCCAAGGTCCCTTCCAACTTACTGTTACTGGATGGCAAATGCTGCATTTCTTCAGCCCAGGTGGGGATAACACAGGTGCTGCAATATCTGTGCCCAACAGGGGTTGCTGCCATTGTTTCATGCTTCTCCCAAAAACGACTTAAACCAAAGGACCGTCAGATGTGGCTCCTGCAACGCCTAGTCTACTCCTCTACTATCAGGGAGAGAGGAGGGCCCTGATCCTTCACATAAGAGGTGAAATAGGAGAAGAGAAAAGGAAATAGTTCGGTCCAACAACTATGCTTCAGGTGACCTGTTCCCAAAATTAAAAATAAAATAAAATATGAGGATTTCTTAAGACCTGGTTAGCCCATGTATGCAAATGGACTATGTGGTCCTCCTCCTCTTCCCTAGACTTGTGCTTTTACATGCTATTGAGGTTGAGTTACATAATCACATGTATCATGTCCATGTCAAATTCATGTATAATTAAATGGTGGGTCTGAAGAAACATATCCCTGTTCCTCAAGCAGCAGGGTGTGATTTTTGATTGAGACCTATTAATTCCTCCCGGTTTCCAAATCTCTAATATGCAAATATTTCCTCCAGTCATTGGTTAAACCAGAAGACCTCAAAATGGTTTTGGGGAAGAAAGTTTTCTAGTAGAACCAATGAATGAAGATCTCATTTGCATGAAAGGAGAAAGCAGAAGCATTTAAGGAAAGGAAGGGAGAAGATCTGAAGAAGGTGGTAATTTTCCTCCTTAGAAGGATACTCCTTGCCAAGGTTGACCATGGGTTGGGCTGTGATTTTCTTAGCACTCTTCATTTACTGCACAGGTAAAGTTTTCATGGCCCAGGAGAGGCTTGGCTTTTGAGTTTAATAAAAACACGGTTCCCTGAAATATTTAAGAATAATAAAGTGGATCACAGATACGGTATTTTTTCCTTTACTTCACCGCTCTCTTTCTCCCTTTTGAAGGTATTGACTGTCAAGAAAGTTGGATCCAGCCTCCCTCCAGCTCCGTGTCCCCAGGTGGAACCATTGCGATCTCCTGCATAACCCAGGTTTCTAATACCATTTACTGGTATCAACAGAAACCAGGGAAATCGCCTCGTTTTGTCCACTGTGACGGCTGCAACAGGGGAGAAGGGATCCCAAATCGGTTCACTGCCACCAGATCTGGGACTACAGGATCTTTAAGCATCACCAATGCACAGGCTGAAGATGAGGCTGATTATTACTGTGGTAGATGGAAAAGTGGAGGTACTGTGTTGCACAGTGGTGAATTCTTATGGGGAAGTGTGACAAAAACCTCCTCTCTGCCCCTTCAACCTGAAACAAGAAGCAACATACTTTGACCGGGGATTGGATGTACTTGAACTGAAAAGACAGGAGAGAAACTTTGTGCTGGCTCATTTCCATCTGCAAGGAAGCCTCTCTGTCCCCATCAAGGGGGATGATGGATACTGGAGCATGGAAGGAGAAGATGCAGGGGAGGCCCAGGGCATCATCAGCCCTCTCTGGTTTGGGTGAAAACTACCAAAGGAGAAGATGCAAAATTGGAGGGGCTACAGATGATTAGCAGGTGCTTCAACACTAGCCTGGATGTGGGAGAAAAGGGATTGTAACTGGCTAAAAGGCGGTCACAGGTGCCAACTTAGGTCAAGGCTAGAGGATGTCAGAATGAACCCTTTGCAAAGAGTTGTACACTCCTGTGTGCTTCTCCTACATTAGATGCTGAACTTTACAGACCACCAAGTGCTAAGTGTTTTCTTACCAGAAGAAACGGATCGTCCTCATAAAACTCTCCTGATGAACAGATACCTCCTTGACCTCAACCTCAAACACGCCACTAAAATGAAGAAGGAGAATCCCAGAGTAGCACAATGCCACAGATATACATTAAGAAGAAGGGGAACTTTGTGAAATCTTCTGTAAGAGAATTAAGATAGAAGGCACATCCTCCTTCTCCTTCTCCTTGTTTTTTTCTTCTTCTTTTTCTGATATTTAAACAGAAGGAAGAGGATGGTTCTCAATGGACAGAAAATGCTACATTTCTTCAGCCCAGATGGGGATAAGACAGATGTTGCAATATCAGTGGCCAGTAGGGGCTGCTGATGCCCTTTCAAAGGTCTCCAAAAAATGACTTCAGCAAAAGCATGGTCAGATGTGGCTCCTGAAATGTCTCCTCTCTTCCTCTCCAGTAAATGAAGGAGGAAGGAGCTGATCCCGCACAGAACACATGAAATATGTAGGATAAGAGGAAATGATTGGGACCACCAACTCTGCTTCTGGTGGCTTCCTCCAAATATATTTTTTTAAAAAAAGAATATGAGGATTTCTTATGATCTGCCTTAGCTCATATGTCCAAATGGACTATGGTCGTCCTCATTTCCCTAGGCTGGTGGTTTTACACACTATGGAGAGGCAGTGGAGTTGCCCAATTTCATGTATAATTTCCATGTCATTTTCACATATAAAGAAGTGTGTTTGAAGAAATTCACAAGTTTTCCAGTTCTACAAGCAGCACAGTTTGATTTTTAATTGACCTTATAATTCGTCATGGTTTCCAAATCTCCTCTATGCAAATGTCTCCTCCGGTCATTGGCTAAACCAGAAGACCTCAAATGGTTTTGGGGAAGAAGTTTTCTAGTAGAACCAATGAGGGCAGATCTCATTTGCATGAAAGGAGAAATCAAGAGGCATTTAAGGGAAGGAAGGGAGAAGATCTGAAGAAGGTTATAATTTCTTTCCCTAAAAGAATATTCCTTGCCAAAGTTGACCATGAGTTGGGCTGTGATTTTCTTAGCACTCCTCACTTACTGCACAGGTAAAGCTTTCCTGGAACAAGAGAGGATTTGGCTGTGATTCTCATAAGAAAAGCTTTCCTTGGAAATGATCAAAGCAAAGGAAGATGCATCAGTTTAACTATATTTCTTTCTTTTTCTTCCTCCCTCTTTCCTTTCCTATCTCCCATCATTATTTAAAGGCATCGATGGTCAGTCCACTTGGACTCAGCCTCCCTCCAGCTCCGTGTCCCTGGGTGAAACCATCACACTCTCCTGTTTAACAACTCAGAGTTCCTACAGCATTGGCTGGTATCAACAGGAACCAGGAAAAGGCCCTCGTTTTGTCCACTGTGATGGCTGCAACAGGGGAGAAGGGATCCAAATCGGTTCACTGCCACCAGATCTGGGAGTACAGGATCTCTGGCCATCACCAATGTGCAGGCTGATGACGAAGGAGTTTATTATTGTGGTAGCCGGAACAGTGCAGCCAACGCGTTCCACAGTGATTAATTCTTATGGGGAAGTGTGACAAAAACCTCCTCTCTGCCTCTTCAGCCTGAGACAAGAAGCAACATACCTTGTCTTGTGATCGAGGAAACTAGAGGTGAGAAGACAGGAGAGAAACTTCTGCAAGTTCATTTCTATCTGCAAAGAAGTCTCTCGGTCCCTTTGAAGAGGGGTGAGGAATACAAGAATAGGAAAGAGAAGGCCACAGACCAGTGGTGAAATCCAATATTTTTTACTACCGGTTCTGTGGGCGTGGTTTGGTGGGCATGGTGTGGTTGGGTAGACTTATCTTGGTGGGCATTGCAGTGGAAGGATATTGCAAAATCTCCATTGCCACTACTGGTTCTCCAGAAACTGTCAGTACCTGCTGGATTTTACCCCTGCCACAGTCCCACAGTCTGAATCTCCCATGATTTGAGTAAAAACTATCAAAGGATAAGATGTAAAATTGGAGAGGAGCTACAGGTGATTTGCAGGTGCTTCAACACCAGACTGGAGATGGGATAAAAGGGACTTTATGAAGACACAGGCTAAAAAGTGGCCACTGGGGCAAGTTTGGGTCAAGGCTAGAGCTTGTAAGGATGAACACTTCGTATCCATTTGAAGCCTCACTTGTGGTTCTCCTAGATTAGATGTTGAGTTTTACAGATGATGTGCTAAATATTCTTACGGGGAGAAATGAATGAGCCACTGAAAACATGGAACTCTTCTGATGAACAGGTCCCTCCTTTACCTCAACCTCAAGCACACCAGGAAATCCAAGAAGGAAAAGCAGAAACAAGCATGATGCTCCAGACATACATATGATCTCTCCTTAAATCAAAGCGTTAAAAAAATTAAGGAAGACTTTGGAACATCTTCTGAAATAGAATGAATAAAGATGACACTTTTTGTCCCATTCTTGTTTTCTTCTTTATTTCATCCTTTATTTTATTTTTTTTTTGGTCTTTTCCTTCCTCTAATGTTTAAGGAGAAGGACGATGACGGTCTTCAAAGGATGAGAGATGTTGCCTTTCTTCTGCCCAGGTGGGGAGAATGCAGATGTTGCATTCTCGTCATTTAGAGCTTACAGGTGTTTGCTGGGCCTAATGTGACTCTGGGAATCAGGAAAACTCCTGGCATTTGAAGGGTGTAGTTATTGCATTTAGAGAAATGGCATTATGGCTCAAAGCCATTGTTGATTTTTGTCTTTCTACAGTGTGGCTTATCTTCCAATCCTGCATTAACAGGGGGTTGGACTAGATGACCTCCAAGGTCCCTTCCAACTTACTGTTACTGGATGGCAAATGCTGCATTTCTTCAGCCCAGGTGGGGATAACACAGGTGCTGCAATATCTGTGCCCAACAGGGGTTGCTGCCATTGTTTCATGCTTCTCCCAAAAACGACTTAAACCAAAGGACCGTCAGATGTGGCTCCTGCAACGCCTAGTCTACTCCTCTACTCTAAGGGAGAGAGAGGGCCCTGATCCTTCACATAAGAGGTGAAATAGGAGAAGAGAAAAGGAAATAGTTTGGTCCAACAACTATGCTTCAGGTGACCTGTTCCCAAAATTAAAAAAAAATAAAATATGAGGATTTCTTAAGACCTGGTTAGCCCATGTATCCAAAAGGACTATGGTCCTCCTCCTTTTCCCTAGACTTGTGCTTTTACATGCTATTGAGGTTGAGTTACATAATCACATGTATCATGTCCATGTCAAATTCATGTATAATTAAATGGTGTGTCTGAAGAAACGTATCCCTGTTCCTCAAGCAGCAGGGTGTGATTTTTGATTGAGACGTATTAATTCCTCCCGTTTTGCAAATCTCTAATATGCAAATATTTCCTCCGGTCATTGGTTAAACCAGAAGACCTCAAAATGGTTTTGGGGAAGAAAGTTTTCTAGGAGAACCAATGAGGGCAGATCTCATTTGCATGAAGGGAGAAAGCAGGGGCATTTAAGGGAAGGAAGGGAGAAGATCTGAAGAAGGTTATAATTTTCTTTCCTAGAAGGATTTTCCTTGCCAAAGTTGACCATGGGTTGGGCTGTGATTTTCTTAGCTTTCCTCACTTACTGCACAGGTAAAGTTTTCCTGGAACAAGAGAGGATTTGGCTGTGATTCTCATAAGAAAAGCTTTCCTTGGAAATGATCAAAGCAAAGGAAGATGCATCAGTTTAACTATATTTCTTTGTTTTTCTTCCTCACTCTTTCCTTTCCTATCTTCCATCATTATTTAAAGGCATCGATGGTCAGTCCGCTTGGACTCAGCCTCCCTCCAGCTCCATGTCCCTGGGTGGAACCATTACACTCTCCTGTTTAACAACTCAGAGTTCCTACTGGATTGGCTGGTATCAACAGGAACCAGGAAAAGGCCCTCGTTTTGTCCACTGTGATGGCTGCAACAGGGGAGAAGGGATCCCAAATCGGTTCACTGCCACCAGATCTGGGAGTACAGGATCTCTGGCCATTATCAATTTGCAGGCTGAAGACGAAGCAACTTATTTCTGTGGTAGCTGGAACAGTGCAGGCAACGCGTTCCACAGTGATTAATTCTTATGGGGAAGTGTGACAAAAACCTCCTCTCTGCCTCTTCAGCCTGAAACAAGAAGCAACGTTCCTTGTCTTGTGATCGAGGAAACTAGAGGTGAGAAGACAGGAGAGAAACTTCTGCAGGTTCATTTCTATCTGCAAAGAAGTCTCTCGGTCCCTTTGAAGAGGGGTGAGGAATACAAGAATAGGAAAGAGAAAGCCCACAGACCAGTGGTGAAATCCAATATTTTTTACTACCGGTTCTGTGGGCGTGGTTTGGTGGGCATGGTGTGGTTGGGTAGACTTATCTTGGTGGGCATTGCAGTGGAAGGATATTGCAAAATCTCTATTGCCACTACTGGTTCTCCAGAAACTGTCAGTACCTGCTGGATTTCACCCCTGCCACAGTCCCATGGTCTGAATCTCCCATGATTTGAGTAAAAACTATCAAAGGATAAAATGTAAAATCGGACAGAAGCTACAGGTGATTTGCAGGTGCTTCAACACCAGACTGGAGATGGGATAAAAGGGACTTTATGAAGACACAGACTAAAAAGTGGCCACTGGGGCAAGTTTGGGTCAAGGCTAGAGGTTGTAAGGATGAACACTTCGTATCCATTGGAAGCCTCACTTGTGGTTCTCCTAGATTAGATGTTGAGCTTTACAGATGATGTGCTTCAATGTTCCTACTGGGAGAAATGAATGAGCCACTGAAAACATGGAACTCTTCTGATGAACAGGTCCCTCCTTTACCTCAACCTCAAGCACACCAGGAAAGCCAGGAAGGAAAAGCAGAAACAAGCATGATGCTCCAGATATACATATGATCTCTCCTTAAATCAAAGCCTTAAAAATATTAAGGAAGACTTTGGGACATCTTCTGAAATAGAATGAATAAAGATGACACATTTTGTTCCATTCTTGTTTTCTTCTTTATTTCATCCTTTATTTTTTTTGGTCTTTTCCTTCCTCTAATGTTTAAGGAGAAGGATGATGACGGTCTTCAGAGGATGAGAAATTCAGCATTTTTTCTGCCCAGGTGGGGAGAATGCAGATGTTGCCAAATCAGTGGCCAGCAGGGGGTGCTGCTGCCCTTTCATGTTTGAGCAAAAGCATGGCCAGATGTGGCTTCTGAAATGTCTCATCGCCTTCTTGAGAGTAAGGGAGGGAGGAGGACACTGAGCATTCACAGAATAAGTGAGTAGTGCATGATAAAAGGATATGGTTAGGTCCAAACATTCTGCTTCCTGGTATATGTTCCAGAAATTAAGAAAAATGAATATAATAATAACTTTATTGTCATAGTACGTATATACACATTATCCCCATACAACAAAAGTTACTTAACACCCAAAGACCAGGTCCAACACAGATAACAATCCCCAAACATACCCCCACCCACCACAAATTCCCCACCCCTAAACCACCCAAACATCCACACAACAGACAAGTAATACTGTCCAACAGCTCACTGATGGTGGCCCTTTAGTTCATTGTTGAGTGCAATTATAGCTCTGGGATAAAAACTATTCTGAAAATGTGTGGTCTGAGTTTTAATCGTTCTTTGTCTTCTGCAAGAAGGCAACAGTACAAAAAGATTGTAAGCAGGTTGGGAAGAGTCTCTGAGAATGTTATGCAACTTCCTCAAACAGCGAGATCATCTTCAATCTATTAAACAGCTCATTCTTATTTATTTATTTTATTTTATTTTATTTTATTAAATTCTTGTGTCTTACTTTCCTTCCACTGCAAGAAAATAATAGTTTTAGACCAGACACATCTTAGCAGTTGCTCATCCCCTCTCTAATTAGCCTCCTTGAGGGCTTGGGTGGTAGTTGAAGAGCAAGACATTTGCATGAGGGAGTCCTCTCTTGTCCTTTGGGGATTTAAGAGGGGTGGATAGGAGGCAAGGGGGAAATCCATTTGCTTTAGAGAAAGGGTTGTCCCGTCGACTTCTCCCACCATGTCCTGGGCATTTCTTCTCTCCATCGTCCTGATCTCTGTTGGTAAGAGAAACCCATTGAGAAGGAGGCCTAATTCTTTCTAGAACTAACCTCAGAAAACTTCCTTGCTTGATAGTTGAGTTGGCCATTTGTGGTGCTCCTCTTGACCCTCTGTTGAACAAGCAACATCTTCCTCTCTTTCAGGCCCCAGCCTTCAACAACTGCAGAACTTGAAGGACCCAGAATTCGTAGCCCCTGGGGGCACAGTCACCATATCTTGTCGATACGATGGTGGAAATCTTGGAGATGGCAACTACCCTTGGTGGTCTCAGCAGGTACCTGGTGATAAGCCTCGAACTTTGATCTATACAACCAGTACCAGACCTTCGGGGTTCCAGAACGTTTCTCCGGGTCCAGATCAGGGAACGTGATGTCCTTGACTATCACTCGGGCTCTGCTTGAAGACGAAGCCACCTACTATTGTTGCGTCTGGACGGGTAGTCAGTTCCACAGTGATTGATTCAGGTGGGGAAGTGAGACAAAAACCTTCTCTGGGGTTCATTTCAGCTTCTCTCTTGTTTAAATTCCCCTGTGTGCAGAAGTGAAATTTGACAGGAAGAAAGAAATGCAGACTTTGAGTTGATATAAGACCGGAGAAGAGGGACTTTGTACTCAACCAAACAGTTCTTTGAGGAAACTGAAAGCCTCAGAGTGTTGAATTGTTTGGGTTCATTAGCCAGAACCTTGAGTGGTGCGGTGGCCTAGAGGTGGAGCTCTCGCTTCACAATCAGGAGGCTGTGAGTTCAATCCTAGGCAGAGGCAGATATTTCTCTCTCTGGGCATGATGAGAATATATCTGCTAAACATAACTCTGCATTGGTGACAGGAAGGGCGTCCGGCCAGTAAAAACTCAGCTCCATTCAGTTGCCCAGACTCCACCCCGCAAGGGATTATGGGGTCATTAAATGATGATGATGATGATTAGTCAGAATCTTGACAGCTTCATTTCCATCTGAAAAAGTCTCTCTGTCTCTATGATAAATACAGGGGGATGATAAATACAGCTATACTTCAACATATATATATATATTCATTTGAATAGATCATGTGCTAAATGTTTTCTCATCGGGAGAAATGAATCATCCACTGAAAACATGAAACTCTGCTGATAGCAATAGCAATAGGAATAGATTTATATGCTGTTCCACAGTGCTTTACAGACCTCTCTGAGTGGTTTACAGAGACACCCTCTTGCCCCCCAACAATCTGGGTCCTCATTTTACCCATCTCGGAAGGATGAGTGGCTGAGTCAACTTTGAGCCGGTCAGGATTCAACTGCTGACAGTCTGCAGAAGTAGCCTGCAATATTGCATTCTAACCACTGTGCCACCATGGATGGATGGATGGATGGATGGATGGATGGATGGATGGATGGATGGATGTGAAGGAGGAAGGAAGGAAGGAAGGAAGGAAGGAAGGAAGGGAGGGAGGGAGGGAGGGAGGGAGGGAGAATAGCAATAGCAGTTAGATTTATATACCACTTGACAGTGCTTTGCAGCCCTCTCTAAGAAATTTAAAGAGGCAGCCTATTGCCCTCAACAATCTGGGTCTTCATTTTACCCATCTCAGAAGGATGGAAGGCTGAGTCAACCTTGAACCGGTCAAGATTGAACTGCTGGCAGTGAGCAGTCAGTTAGCCTGCAATACTGCATTGTAACCACTGTGCCACTATGGATGGATGGATGAATGGATGGATGGGAAGGAAGGAGGAAGGAAGGAAGGAAGGAAGGAAGGAAGGAAGGAAGGAAGGAAGGAAGGACTAGCAATAGCACTTAGATTTATATACCGCTTGACAGTGCTTTCCAGCCCTCTCTAAGAAGTTTAAAGAGGCAGCCTATTGCCCCCAACAATCTGGGTCCTCATTTTACCCATCTCGGAAGGATGAGTGGCTGAGTCAACTTTGAGCCGGTCAGGATTCAACTGCTGACAGTCTGCAGAAGTAGCCTGCAATATTGCATTCTAACCACTGTGCCACCATGGATGGATGGATGGATGGATGGATGGATGGATGGATGGATGGATGGATGTGAAGGAGGAAGGAAGGAAGGAAGGAAGGAAGGAAGGAAGGGAGGGAGGGAGGGAGGGAGGGAGGGAGGAATAGCAATAGCAGTTAGATTTATATACCACTTGACAGTGCTTTGCAGCCCTCTCTAAGAAATTTAAAGAGGCAGCCTATTGCCCTCAACAATCTGGGTCTTCATTTTACCCATCTCAGAAGGATGGAAGGCTGAGTCAACCTTGAACCGGTCAAGATTGAACTGCTGGCAGTGAGCAGTCAGTTAGCCTGCAATACTGCATTGTAACCACTGTGCCACTATGGATGGATGGATGAATGGATGGATGGGAAGGAAGGAGGAAGGAAGGAAGGAAGGAAGGAAGGAGGAAGGAAGGAAGGAAGGAAGGAAGGAAGGACTAGCAATAGCACTTAGATTTATATACCGCTTGACAGTGCTTTCCAGCCCTCTCTAAGAAGTTTAAAGAGGCAGCCTATTGCCCCCAACAATCTGGGTCCTCATTTTACCGACTTCGGAAGGATGGAAGAGTTAGGGTTGAACTGTTGGCGGTGAGCAGTGAGTTAGCCTGCAATACTGCATTGTAACCACTGTGACACCACAGCTCAGATGGCCACCACAGGTGAAGAGGTCCCTCCTTTATCTCTACCTGAAGTACAACATAAAAGTTGAGAAGGACAAGCGCAGAGTAGCCTGAAGCCACAGACCTATATAACCAAGCAACAGATCTACGAATACCTAGAAGCAGTGGTGGGATTCAAATAATTTAACAACCAGTTCTCTGCCCTAATGATTTCTTCCAACAACCAGTTCACCAAACTGCTCAGAAAGTTAACAACCGGTTCTCCCAAAGTGGTGCAAACTGGCTGAATCCCACCACTGCCTAGAACAGTGTTCCTCAACCTTGGAAGCTTGAAGATGGGTGGACTTCAACTCCAAGAATCCCCCAGCCAGCGCTGCTGGCTGGGGGATTCTGGGAGTTGAAGTCCACCCATCTTCAAGCTACCAAGGTTGAGGAACACTGGCCTAGAAGGAAGCAAAGTTAGATCCAGAACCCAACACGAGTTAGTTAAAGGCAGATAATGCCAAACAAATCTTATTGCATTCTTTGACAAAGTGACTAAATTAGTGGACCAGTGAAATGCAGTCAAGTCTAATGAAAAGAAGGACTAGGGATGACATGATAGCACTTTCCCAATATTTGAGGGGCTCCTACAAAGTCATGGAGGTCAAACTATTTTCGCTAACCACTAAAAGGCAAGAGAAGAATCAACAGTTGGCAACTAATCAAGGACAGAAGCCAGGAGAAATTTCCCAACAGTGAGAGCATTGAATCAGTGGAACAGATTGTCTTCAGAAGATGTGGGTGCTCCATCACTGGAGACTTTAAAAAAAGAGATTGGACGTATGATTGGCTGGAATGGTAGAGGGTTGGACTAGAAGACCTCTAAGATCCCTTGCAACTCTGCTATTCGGTTAATCTCTACCTAAAATGACTTTTTAAAAATCAAAGTCAGACTCACACTCACGTGTGTTTCTTTTAGATTAGATGATGAATAGATGATTACCACCCATTAAATGTCCTTATCAGGAGAAATAAATCATTTCATGGAAATGTGAATCTTTTCTGATGAACAGGTGCCTCCTTCACCTCAACCTCAGGCCCACCATGGGACTGGAGATGCAGAAGGAGGGAAACCGCAAACTTAGATGAAATCTCTGCCTCTTTCTTCACATCAAAGGGTTAAAAAGAACAAGGGAGGCCTTGTGGAATCTCCTGTGAGAGAATTAAGGCACATTTTATTCCCTTCAACGTTCACCTTATTTATTTTCCCCTCCTTCTTCTGGTTTTTGAGGAGAAGGAAGATGATGGTTCCCAAAGGATGACTAGGTGGCTCAGTGGCTAAGACATGGAGTTTGTCGATCAGAAAGGTTGGCAGTTCGGCGGTTCGAATCCCTAGCATAGATCTCCTACATGAACAGGGGGTTGGACAAGATCCCTTCCAACTCTGTTACTGGATGCCGAATGTTTCTTCAGCCCAGGTGGGGATAACACAGGTGCTGCAATATTTGTGGCCAATAGGGGTTGCTTCTGCTCTTTCACGGTTCTCCAAAAAACGACTTAAGCCAAAGGACAGTCAGATGTGGTTCCTGCAATGTGTAGTCTCTTCCTCTCCTGTAAAGGAGAGAGGAGGGCCCTGATCCTTCACATAAGAGGTGAAATTGGAGAAAGTTCGGTGTAACAACTATGCTTCAGGTGACCTGTTCCAACAATTGAAAATATAAATAAAAGAATATGAGGCTTTCTTAAGACCTGGTTAGCCCATGTATGCAAATAGATTATATGGTCCTCCTTCTTTTCCCTAGACTTGTGGTTTTACATGCTATTGAGGTTGAGTTACATAATCACATGTATCATGTCCATGTCAAATTCATGTATAATTAAATGGTGTGTTTGAAGAAACATATCCCTGTTCCTCAAGCAGCAGGGTGTGATTTTTAATGGAGACCTATTAATTCCTCCCAGTTTCCAAATCTCCTGTATGCAAATGTTTTCTCTGGTCATTGGTGACACCAGAGGATCTCAAAATCATTTTGGGGAAGAAAGTTTTCTAGGAGAACCAATGAGGGCAGATCTCATTTGCATGAAAGGAGAATGCAGGGGCATTTAAGGAAAGGAAGGGAGAAGATCTGAAGAAGGTTGTAATTTTCCTCCTTAGAAGGATACTCCTTGCCAAAGCTGACCATGAGTTGGGCTGTGTTTTATTAGCACTCTTCATTTACTGCACAGGTAAAGCTTTCCTGGTCCAAGAGCGGCTTGCCTTTTGAGTTTAATAAAAACACGGTTCCCTGAAATATTTAAGAATAATAAAGTGGATCACAGATACTGTATTTTTTCCTTTACTTCACCGCTCTCTTTCTCCCTTTTAAAGGTATTGACTGTCAAGAAAGTTGGATCCAGCCTCCCTCCAGCTCCGTGTCCCCAGGTGGAACCATTACGATCTCCTGTACAAGAACTCATAGTTCCTACAGCATCTATTGGTATCAACAGAAAGCAGGAAAATCCCCTCGTTTTGTCCACTGTGATGGCTGCAACAGGGGAGAAGGGATCCCAAATCGGTTCACTGCCACCAGATCTGGGAGTACAGGATCTCTGGCCATCACCAATGCCCAGGCTGAAGACGAGGCAGATTATTACTGTGCTAGCTGGGACAGTACAGGCAACGTGTTCCACAGTGGTGAATTCTTATGGGGAAGTGTGACAAAAACCTTTATTGTTCCTCTTGAGACTGAAACCACGTGCAACATACCTTGATCTGGGACGGGAGAGACATGAGAGAAAGAGCTGCAAGTTCATCTCCATCTGCAAAGAAGTCTCTGAATGCCCAGAAAAGGGGATGATGGGCATGGGAGGGTGGATGAGAAGCCCACAGATCCATGGCCTCAGCCCCGCATCCGTGATATAAGAAGAAATTTTGAAAGGAGAAGGCGTAAAATTGGAGAAGATAGAGACGATTGGCAGGATGCTTCAACCCCAGATTGGATGTGGGAGGAAAGGGGCTGTATGAGGGCACAGGCTGAAAAGTGGTCCATGGAGCAAGGACCATGATGGATTCAGGAGTATGGAAAAGTGCAGGGAAATCCTACAGATTGGTATGATGGATACAGGAGCATGGATGAGGAAGATGCAGGGGAGGCCCAGGGCATCATCAGCCCTCTCTGGTTTGAGCATAAACTACCAAGGGAGAAGATGCAAAATTGGAGGGGTTACAGATGATTGCTTCAACACTAGACTGGATGTGGGAGAAAAGGGATTGTAAAACTCTTCTGAGGAATGGGTACCTCCTTGACCTCAACCTCAAGCACACCACTAAAGTTGAGGAGGACACATCCAGAGAAGATGATGCCCCTGACTTATATGTAATTGATACCTGAACTGTCTTTCTTCAAATCAAAGTATTAGAAGCAACAAGGGAGGCTTTGTGAAATCTTTTGTAAGAGAGTTAGGAAAGAAGACACATTCTTGTTCTCCTTCCCCTTATCTTTTTTCCTCTTCTGATATTTAAACAGAAGGAAGACGATGGTCCTCAAAGGACAGAAATGCTCCATTTCTTCAGCCCAGATGGTGATAACACAGATGTTGCAATATCAGCGGCCAGTAGGGGCTGCTGATGCCCTTTCAAAGTTCTCCAACAAATGACTTCAGCAAAAGCATGGTCAGATGTGGCTTCAGAAATGTCTCCTATCTTCCTTTACAGTGTGGGAAGGTGGAAGGCACTGATCCCTCACCGGACACATGAAATATGCAGGACAAGAAGAAATGGTTGGGTCCACCAACTCTGCTTCAGGTGGCTGCTTCAGGAGATGGACCAAGAGAGATACCACAAATTTATGTGAAATCTCTACCTACAATGTCTCTCTTCAGATCAAAGTGTTAAAAAAAAAAACAATAAGGGAGGCTTTGTGACATCTTCTGAGAGAGAATTAAGGAAGAAGACACATTTTGTTCCATTCTTATTGTCTTTCAAGTTATTTATTTTCTATCCTGGGAGGAGACGAAGGAGGATGCTCCTCAGAGGATTCAGCAAATGCTGAATTTCCTCAGCCCAGATGGTGATGATTCAGATGTTGCAAAATCAGTGGCCAGTAGGGGTTGATGATGCCCTTTCACAGTTTTTCCAAAGAACAATGTAAGCAAAAGCATGGCCAGATGTGCCTCCTGAAATGTCTCCTCTCTTCCTATCCAAATGGAGTATGGTTTTCTTCTGTTTCACTAGACCGGTGGTTTTTCTTTTCTTTATTTTTTGGGGAAAAAATATTATACACTTGATTTTATTGCAATTGCAAATTAGGTTTTACATGCTATGGAGATTAAGTAGAGCTGCACTATTACATGTATAATTTCCATGTCAAATTCACATATAAAATAATGCGCATGAAGAAATTGACAAGTTTTCCTGTTCTACAAGTAGCACGGTTTGATTTTTCATTGAGACCTTTTAATTCCTCATGTTTTCCAAATCTCCTCTATGCAAATGTTTCCTCTGGTCATTGGCTAAACCAGAAGACCTCAAAATGCTTTTGGGGAAGAAAGTTTTCTAGTAGAACCAATGAATGAAGATCTCATTTGCATGAAAGGAGAAAGCAGGAGCATTTAAGGAAAGGAAGGGAGAAAATCTGAAGAAGTTTATAATTTTTTTCCCTAGAATATTCCTTGCCAAAGTTGACCATGGGTTGGGCTGTGTTCTTCCTTGCACTCCTCACTTACTGCACAGGTAAAGTTTTCCTGGACTGGGAGAGGATTTGGTTGTGATTCTCAGAACTTGGTTCCTTGGAAATGGGCAAAGCAAAGGAAGATGCATCAGTTTAACAGTATTTCTTTCTTTTTCTCCCCTCATTCTTTCTCTCCCTACCTCTTTGAAAGGCATCAATGGTCAGTTAACTTGGACTCAGCCTCCCTCCAGCTCCGTGTCTCCAGGTGGAACCATTACTCTCCCTTGTACAACATCTGAAGGTTCTTACAGCATTGGCTGGTATCAACAGAAATCAGGACAAGGTCCTCGTTTTGTCCACTGTGATGGCTGCAGTAGCAGGGGAGAAGGGATCCCAAATCGGTTCACAGCCACCAGATCTGGGAATTCAGGATCTTTGACCATCACCAATGCACAGGCTGAAGACGAGGCAAATTATTACTGTGGTAGATGGAACAGTGCAGTTACCGTGTTGCACGGTGGTGAATTCTTATGGGGAAGTGTGACCAAAACCTTTATTCTTCCTCTTGAGACTGAAACCACGTGCAACATATCTTGATCTGGGACTGGAGACTCCTGAGCTGAAGAGACATGAGAGAAAGAGCTGCAAGTTCATCTCCATCTGCAAAGAAGTCTCTGAATGCCCAGAAAAGGGGATGATGGGCATGAGAGGGTGGATGAGAAGCCCACAGATCCATGGCCTCAGCTCCGCATCCGTGATATAAGAAGAAATTTTGAAAGGAGAAGGCGTAAAATTGGAGAAGATAGAGACGGTTGGCAGGATGCTTCAACCCCAGATTGGATGTGGGAGGAAAGAGACTGTATGAGGGCACAGGCTGAAAAGTGGTCCATGGGGCAAGGACCATGATGGATTCAGGAGTATGGAAAAGTGCAGGGAAATCCTACAGATCGGTATGATGGATACAGGAGCATGGATGAGGAAGATGCAGGGGAGGCCCAGGGCATCATCAGCCCTCTCTGGTTTGAGCATAAACTACCAAGGGAGAAGATGCAAAATTGGAGGGGTTACAGATGATTGCTTCAACACTAGACTGGATGTGGGAGAAAAGGGATTGTAGAACTCTTCTGAGGAATGGGTACCTCCTTGACCTCAACCTCAAGCACACCACTAAAGTTGAGGAGGACACATCCAGAGAAGATGATGTCCTTGACTTATATGTAATTGATACCTGAACTGTCTTTCTTCAAATCAAAGTATTAAAAAAACAAGGGAGGCTTTGTGAAATCTTTTGTAAGAGAGTTAGGAAGAAGACACATTCTTGTTTTCCTTCCCCTTATCTTTTTTCCTCTTCTTGTTCTGATATTTAAACAGAAGGAAGACGATGGTCCTCAAAGGACAGAAATGCTCCATTTCTTCAGCCCAGATGGTAATAACCCAGATGTTGCAATATCAGCGGCCAGTAGGGGCTGCTGATGCCCTTTCACAGTTCTCCAAAAAATGACTTCAGCAAAAGCATGGTCAGATGTGGCTTCAGAAATGTCTCCTCTCTTCCTCTACAGTGTGGGAAGGTGGAAGGCACTGATCCCTCACAGGACACGTGAAATATGTAGGATAAGAGAAAATTATTGGGTCCACCAACTCTGCTTCTGGTGGCTTCCTCCAAATATATTTAAAAAAAAAAAAGAATATGAGGATTTCTTATGACCTGCCTTAGCTCATTTGTCCAAATGGACTATGGTCCTCCTCATTTCCCTAGGCTGGTGGTTTTACACACTATTGAGATTAAGTGGAGCTGCTCAATTTCATGTACCATTTTCACATTAATTTCATGTATAAAGAAGCGTGTTTGAAGAAATTGACAAGTTTTCCTGTTCTACAAGCAGCATATTTGATTTTTCATTGAGACCTTTTAATTCCTCCCCGTTTTCCAAATCTCTAATATGCAAATGTTTCCTCTGGTCATTGGCTAAGCCAGAAGACCTCAAATGCTTTTGGGGAAGAAAGTTTTCTCGTAAAACCAATGAGGGCAGATCTCATTTGCATGAAAGGAGAAAGCAGGAGCATTTAAGGAAAGGAAGGGAGAAGATCTGAAGAACCTTATAATTTCTTTCCCTAAAAGAATATTCCTTGCCAAAGTTGACCATGGCTTGGGCTGTGTTCTTCCTTGCACTCCTCACTTACTGCACAGGTAAAGTTTTCCTGGACCAGGAGAGGATTTGATTGTGATTCTCAGAACTTGGTTCCTTGGAAATGGGCAAAGCAAAGGAAGATGCATCAGTTTAACAGTATTTCTTTCTTTTTCTCCCCTCATTCTTTCTCTCCCTACCTTTTGGAAAGGCATCAATGGTCAATTAACTTGGACTCAGCCTCCCTCCAGCTCCGTGTCTCCAGGTGGAACCATTACTCTCCCTTGTACAACAACTGAAGGTGCCTACAGCATCCACTGGTATCAACAGAAAGCAGGGAAATCCCCTCGTTTTGTCCACTGTCATGGCTGCAGCAGGGGAGAAGGGATCCCAAATCGGTTCACAGCCACTGGATCTCAGAATTCAGGATCTTTGACCATTACCAATGTGCAAGCTGAAGACGAGGCAGATTATTACTGTGGTAGATGGAACAGTGCAGTTACCGTGTTGCACGGTGGTGAATTCTTATGGGGAAGTGTGACAAAAACCTTTATTCTTCCTCTTGAGACTGAAACCACGTGCAACATACCTTGATCTGTGACTGGACACACGTGAGCTGAAGAGACATGAGAGAAAGAGCTGCAAGTTCATCTCCATCTGCAAAGAAGTCTCTGAATGCCCAGAAAAGGGGATGATGGGCATGGGAGGGTGGATGAGAAGCCCACAGATCCATGGCCTCAGCCCTCAGTCCCTGATATAAGTAGAAATTTTGAAAGGAGAAGATTTAAAATTGGAGAAGCCAGAGATTGGACATATGATTGACTGGAATGGTAGAGGGTTGGACTAGAAGACCTCTAAGGTCCCTTGCAACTCTGCTATTCGGTTAATCTCTACCTAAAATGACTTTTTAAAAATCGAAGTCAGATTCACATTCATGTGTGTTTCTTTTAGATTAGATGATGAATAGATGATTACCACCTATTAAATGTCCTTATCAGGAGAGATAAATCATTTCATGGAAACGTGAATCTTTTCTGATGAACAGGTGCCTCCTTCACCTCAACCTCAGGCCCACCATGGGACTGGAGATGCAGAAGGAGGGAAACCGCAAACTTAGATGAAATCTCTACCTCTTTCTTCACATCAAAGGGTTAAAAAGAACAAGGGAGGCCTTGCGGAATCTCCTGTGAGAGAATTAAGGCACATTTTATTCCCTTCAACGTTCACCTTATTTATTTTCCCCTCCTTCTTCTGGTTTTTGAGGAGAAGGGAGATGATGGTTCCCAAAGGATGACTAGATGGCTCAGTGGCTAAGACACAGAGCTTGTCGATCATAAAGGTCAGCAGTTCGGCGGTTCGAATCCCTAGTATAGATCTCCTACATGAACAGGGGGTTGGACAAGATGACCTCTTAGGTCCCTTCCAACTCTGTTACTGGATGGCAAATGCTGCGTTTCTTCAGCCCAGGTGGGGATAACACAAGTGCTGCAAAATCTGTGCCCAATAGGGGTTGCTTCTGCTCTTTCATGGTTCTCCAAAAAACGACTTAAACCCAAGGGCAGTCAGATGTGGTTCCTCCAACGTCTAGTCTCTTCCTCTCCTGTAAGGGAGAGAGGAGGCCACTGATCCTTCACATAAGAGGTGAAATAGGAGAAGTGAAAAGGAAACAGTTCAGTCCAACAACTATGCTTCAGGTGACCTGTTCCAAAAATTAAAACAAATAAATAAAAGAATATGAGGACACAAGCAGCACGTTTGGTTTTTAATTGAGATCTTTTAATTCCTCGTGTTTCCAAATCTCCTCTATGCAAATGTTTCCTCTGGTCATTGGCTAAACCAGAAAAGACCTCAAAATCATTTTGGGGAAGAAAGTTGTCTGGTAGAACCAATGAACTAAGATCTCATTTGCATGGAGAGGTGAAACCAAAGCATTTAAGGAAAGGCAAGGAGAAGACCTGAAGAAGGTTATAATTTCCCCCCCGAGAAGGATAGTCCTTGCCAAGGTTGACCATGGGTTGGGCTGTGATTTTCTTACTGCTCCTCGCTTACTGTGCAGGTAAAGTTTTCCTGGACCAAGAGAGAATTTGGCTGTGATTCTCATAAGAACAGTTTTCCTTGGAAATGGTGCAGAGTGAAGGAAGGTGCATCAGTTAACAGTATATTTCTTTCTTTTTCTCCCCTCATTCTTTTCCTCACTACTTCACACCATTATTTAAAGGCATTGATGGTCAGTCCACTTGGACTCAGCCTCTCTCCAGCTCCGTGTCCCTGAGTGAAACCATCACACTCTCCTGCACAACTCAGAGTCCCCACAGGATTGACTGGCATCAACAGAAAGCAGGAAAAGGCCCTCGTTTTGTCCATTGTAACAGCTGCAGCAGGGGAGAAGGGATCTCAAATCGGTTGACTGCCACCCAGTCTGAGACTACAGGATCTTTGACCATCACCAATGCCCAGGCTGAAGATGAGGCAATTTATTATTGCGGTAGCTGGAACAGTGCAGGCAACATGTTCCACAGTGATGAATTCTTATGGGGAAGTGTGACAAAAGCCTTCATTCTTCCTCTTCAGACTGAAACCACATGCAACATATCTTAACATATGATTGAGGAGACTTGAGCTAATGATGCAGGTTAGAAACTTCCTGCAAGTGCATCTTCTTCTTCAAAGAAGCCTCTCAATGTCCAGGAAGGGGGATGATTGGGATGGGAGTGTTGAGGAAAAGGGTGCAGGGAAGCCTAGAGATCCTTGGCCTGGAGTTCCTCCTGTGCTATAAATCCAAATATTGAAAGGAGAAGACGTTAACATTGGAGAAGCTAGAGATGATTTGCAGGTGCTTCAACACTTGCTTGAAATTGTGAAAGGGGCTGTTTTGAGACATAGGCTAAAAAATGGTTTCTGGGGCATTTTTGTGCCAGGGCTAAAGGATGTTAAGATTAACAATTTGTAAAGATGTTCACATTCATGCGTGTTTCTTTTAGATTAGATGATGAACTATACTTAAGGTAAAGGTAAAGGTTCCGCTTGCACATATGTTTTTTTTTTAATTTTAATGTTTTATTATTAAGAAATTATAATAATACAATTTTTGTCCATCCGGTTACATAGTATGGAAAAAGAAATAAATGCAAATTACATATTGTACATATATAGATAATCTTTGCAGACCAGTTACATGGTATAAAAAAAATGTGTTCTCATATCATTCTTAGTGTGTGTGTGTGTGTGTGTGTGTGTGTGTGTATGTGTATATATATATATATATATATATATATATATATATATATATATATATATATATATATATATAAAATAATCTTTAACGATAAATTAGTAAATACATAAGTCATGTCTTTTGCTTACCCATGTAACCTTTCCTTGCCTTATTATATTTCCAAGCATCTACAGTACATCTTCTCTTTCTATTTCATTTAACTATTTCTTGTACTTGCTCTGTACTTTTTTATTTCA